TCTTTTATTAGACCAACTAAATAGTTGGAAAAATTGTTTGTTCTTTGCAAGCATTTGGGTACAAACACCCTTCTTCAGGCGACATAGCACACAGTACACACATCAGCTGGCAAAATGAGGCAGATTTGTTTCCTGTTGTGTTGTTGGCTTTCAGCATAACTTTAGGTAAGTCTCTTACCCTTACTTGTGGTTTAGTTTCCCACCCATTAAAAGAGGATGTTAATACCTCACTGTCTCACAGGGCTTTGTCAGGCTATGATCATATAAACACATGTGTAACCTTACTTATCTGAGAATGTCCATTGAATGAAATGGAACTATTTGTGTACATTTAAATACTCTTAAATATTTGCAGTGTTGTGACTCAAATAATTAATGTTTATAATGTGTTATGAGATCCTTGGATGGAATGCCCAATAGATGCTCAAAGTATTACTAACTCAGGCTTGATGTAAACCTAAGAGTTTTATTGCATGCAAATCTCTGGATGAATGAATTTTTTGCAACCAGTTCTCTCAGATTTATTACTTCCAGTGAGCGGAAATAGGGGGATGCTAGGTAACCACAGTGGCCTCTGATTCTTCCATGCAACTGGTTATTTCACTTCTTGCTTGCAGGTAGACTGCCTTTATTGCCAGTTTTGAGCAGTCTTGGTGCAGGGGGAATCAAAACTTGTAAACAAAGGGAGAAATTAAATTTTATTTTTGCACTTATAGGGGCAGTTCCAAATGCATTTTGCTCAGAAAATGCCAGATAAGACCATTTAAAATATATAAACATAATAAAAACAAATGACAAAAATTGCCTGCTAGTCCTCTAAAGAAGTTCTTTTTTTAACATAGTTATCCACAAAGGGTTAGGGACTTTATCACTGCATTCAATACAAACTTAAAAAACTCCCCTAATTATGTAGGCCACAATCCAATTAATCAGTATGGGCAAATCCTGACAGAAGCATTAAATTCCATGAACTCCAGTTCCATGCAATTCCATGAAGGTACAAGGATACAATTGCTTAGATCACTTTGCACAATCAAGGTATTAACTTACATGTAAGAATAGAGTTTTGATTGTTTTTCTGTAATGGGAAATCTGCATTCTTACCCCCAATGTCTGGTGTTTCTCCAGGTTAGCAATTAACTTCTTACAGAGTTCACAAATCACTGTAAAGCTGCTAATGGCAGTTACTGGTTCTAAACGAAGATATCACGTTTATTGCCTTGTATGAAATACATATTTTGTTTGCAGATAGATGTCCATTACGCAAACATTGTTGGCATGACTGCTTAGGAGAGGCCATAATAGTAACTGACATTTGTCCTACTCATCAAAAAAGCTCAAGTGCTTCATGAATTTTGCAGAATGGTTTGCAGGTTAGGCAACATCTGAGAGCAGAATTTGGAGATGCAGAAAATCACTATCCCTGTTACTAAAATGAAGGCAGCTGTGTTGTGGAAGATGGCATCTGTTTTACTGGATGCATAACTAAATTGTGTCTGGTTAAAAAAAGCAGAATATTTTCCTATTAGAATAAAATCTTTAGCTTTCCATTCATTCAAACAGGTGTTAAGATACTGACGTCTTTTGCCGTCCCACTTTCACCAAGAGAAATAATTTCATAATAGATTCCAGTTCTTCGTGTCCTGAATTATTGTTCTAGGTTTTCTAGGTTTGATGTGTGCATGATGAAGTCTGCTGCTTACAAACCTTACGTTGTGTATCTCTGATTTAGTTAGCCTATAAGGTGCAGATCTGCTTTGCTTTCAGCCTGATTTCAGACTAGTATTACCTCTCTGTTTCAGTGTTTGTCAGCATCTCAAAAAAAATCACAGGATTTCATTTTTTTCTTTGAAACGAAGGCACTGAGGTGATAATTTGATCATTGGTTGCCTAGTTACCAAATAATTATTTCTTTTAAATGCATATGGGTTTTAAAAAGTTCAGAAATAAAACCACAAACAAGTGTAAATATGAGAATGGAAGAAGAAAGAAAGTGTACTTTTCTGCTTCTGTTTCAGGGAGTGAAAATGTCTTCCACAAGAGTGAGCTTTCGTTTGGCTGCCTGTTTGCTAAACATTTCAGAAGCCAGAAAAAAAGATGTTGTTGAGAAAATAGCCAAAGCTGCTATTTACAATGATAATGGTAAGAACAGCAAACAGAGTAAGTTTAAATAGTGCTGTATTTCAGGATGATGTTTACTAGGTTGTAGGCTCGGTGGTCCTGGAAAAAAATGAATATTATTTAATTTTTGATAATATTCTGGTTTTGCTGTTTTATTGATTTTTGTGGGGGTTGGGATTTAAAAAAAAAATTGTGCCTCTTGTGCCCCTAGTGATATCACAATTTGTACTTTGGTCTTCCTGCTTTTCTCCCTAGGTAATCTTACTGTACCTTTTATATTCATCTTGGTAATGTAGCCAAGTTTCTGCTTTTTATGAGATTTCCTTTTTAAGTTCCATGTAATTGAGGAATTACTGGGCTAGTCAAGCAAGTCTCTACACAGCTTATCCCTTCTTTTGCATCGAGGTATTATGCTTTTATGCCTGTTTTGAGAACAACAAATTCCATTTTCTTTAGACTTAGACCGTTGGATCCTAGCTACCAGTTTCTTCAAAGGAGACAAATAAATAATAGTCACTGGTGATTGCCAAACAGAATTAAACAAAGAAAAAGGTTTGGGGATCCTGTACTCAGAAGCAGAAGGGAATTCCTGAAATCTGTTTGCAGAGTACAAGTTGAGAACCTCTGACCTATACTTATAGGTCCTGATGTCACACAAGTTCATTAACCTGCATGTTTCTTGTTTGGAAGAGAAGAGATGAGAGATGGTTAGCCTGTTAGTTTGAAGTCATTAATTTATCCCATAACCTGGAATATTTTTGGTGACTGCTTTGTTCCTATGAGGCCTTTGCTTGTGTGCCTCTCCCAGCACTGTCCCCACACCCTCCTTCCTCTGTCCTGTCCCTTCCCACCTTTTGTATTCATGTCACTGACTGCATTACACTGCCAGGGGTGAATGCAGGGAGCTGCAGTTGCATCCTCCTTTTGATGCCTGCTCCACCAAAACTTTAAAACCAACTGTCTGAGAGGGGCAGTGGCATTTTTCTCTTCAGGAAGTGCTGAGAGAGTCAATTGACTTTATAGCTCGTTATCATTGTCCTTGGTTCATGATAATTTCTCTCTTTAGCGGGGCTAAAGGGTCTGGGAGCACAGGTGGTGCTCTCGTCGATCCTCCCAGTCTCGGGCTATGGGCTGAGGAGGAAGAG